CCCCCCCCCCCCCCCCCCCCCCCCCCCATCAATATCCGGAATGCATCGCCCGAAATAATAACGAATACGCTCGTAGGCAAGTGAAATTTAAAATTTTCGCTCACTGGGAACCTCGTGGAATGGTCTAAAGACGATCCAGAATCTCATCAGAAAACTTAATCTGTATCTAGAAATTTGTTGAGCTCATTCAGATTTCACTTGCGATCATCGCACGGAAAAATTTTGATCGTGGATCCGCACGGATTTTCATTTGAAAAACGCAATTTTAGGGATAGAATGGGTGTGTTCACTGCTTATTTTCGCCTTTCACGACCAGCACGGAGAGGAATTTTATTTCTGGCGAGCTCAACTTGCATTCCGCAAATGGGGGTGCAGTCCAAAAGCCCCCCCCCCCCCTGCCAAAAGCCCCCCCCCTATAGGTTCAAAAATTGGGGATTACAGGTATTCTTGTAACTCTTGATGGTAAGCTGCACCTTTCACCAGCAGGCCCAGCACAGGGCCAAGTACCAATATGTTGGTAAGTTGTGTATATAAAGGGATTCTTCACCTGCAATGATCATCAGTGATTCTTTGAATTTCAAAGTATCATGATTTGTTGACTTCGGCAAAATCTACAGTTCACCTTGTTGGTCCAATGGTTGGTGCACTTCAGATCATCTATGATCAGAAGGGCGGTCAAATTGCATACTGCAATGGCTATTTAGAAGAAAATGACATGGAGAGCATCAGTGACAGTGAGGAAGAGGCAGCAGAAGGCAATTTTGAAGATCATTAAACAGTCCTTTTGAGGACTAATGTAACCAAATAGCCCTTCTCAGGGCCACCAAGCACTATTATGAAACTTGCAATTATAAAAAAAGTGGTGGCGGGCTTTTGGCCTAGGGGGGGCTTTTGGTTGGGTACCGGCAAATGGAAGGGAGAAAATCATGATTGATTTCAGAATTTGGACAACCTCTGATACCACGTATTACTGTACTTTACTCAAAAATTCGCTCTTCGTAATTCTGCGTTTATTTGTTATGTTGCTAAACATCACCATAGGCCTAGGGGTTTGATTTATCTGCATATCAGAGGAAAGCACATATAGATATGAATGCCCAGAATTTTCAACAAAAGTAAACCCTGCCAAACAAATTTCTACTTCTTTATTGGGTAAGTTCATTCTCACATAGAAATGCGAACAGAAATTTGTCCAATTTATCAACTGCTTATCATTTCAAACCTAAAATTTGGGTTGTCTCCCTTTACCACAAATTCAAAGGACATAAAAAATTGGTGTTGAGATTCTAAAGAATTCCTGTAAGTTGGGGAGAGAACCCAATGTATGTGCCAGCAACAGAAAAAACAGATTCTTTATAAGGAAAAATTTTGAAGACCATCGTGACAAGAGTCCATGTCCTGAAGTACCAATAAGCATCCCATCAATCATCCTTCAAAATACTATCCAAAGCTTTTCTTCATTCTGCATCAATTTACCTTAGGCAGGTGGAAAATTAAAATGAATCACTACATTATTGTTGAAAATTATTTAAAATTTATTAAATGCTAGAAAAAGATGCAGCCATGATGGACAAAGACCACATACTCTTGCAATCCCTTCAGTATGAAGTATCCGTGTCCCGTAACAACTTACTTAATCCTACACAAGTGTCTACATTGATGATAATCTTCTCTCGTCACGTCATGTCATAAAATGACTTATAAACCTACTGGGTTGGAAGAACTTTAGTATGTAAACTTGTACAGTAATTGCATGATTGGACAAACTTTCAACCAGCTCTTTATAATGAATGGAACCTAGGTCAACAGTAGAGTTCCATATTGAATTTCCAGCTCCTCAACAAGCACAGGCATTTCGAATTTTTTTATTCCTTTCTTATCCCACAATCAGGACGACACTCAGCTGATACGAACTTACCAATTCTCAAATGAGGCTGCAAAAAAAAAAAAAAAAAAACCAGGCACATCCCTCCCCTCCCCCCAAACACATCAATGAGATCAACTCCAGAAATGATCACACAGCAGATGACTTCCATTATAGCAGACATATTTACTCATAATCCACTACCTGAAATGCAACTTTCCTTCCGGACATTTTCCAGCCAAAATATCCTCTCTGAACACCATCATTCCTCAGTTCTGGATATCTAAAATTCAATTTCCGGAAGCAACTCATGGGCCAATTTGGCTGAAAAAAGAAACACGCCACGCAACAGCACAAAAAGAAAGGGACAGGAAATCAAAAACCAAGATTATTTTGTTCACAAAGCATCATTGCACTCGCTCAATATTTATCTCCGCAGCCCTAGTCCCTTGGTTAATCAACTTGCACAACTCCAGCAATGTCCTTCCACCAAGCAAACTCAAAAATTGTGTTTCACTAGCAGGCTAACCAATCAGGGACTGCCTCCTTGACAACCCTCGCAAGAAAAAAAAAAAACAGGCAACCAATTGGCAAAAAAGAGGCCTGTCCGAACTGCGGCATTGTCCAACGGTTTTCAATTCTAGCCTCGAAAACACTCAAGCCCAATAAGATTTGACACCTGAAATCAAAGATCATATTTCGCAGTCTCCTCAAACCCGCTGCTCGTGGGCAAAAACAAGTTCTCCAGCAAATTTTTGCATGACGCTCTCCGAAGTAAATCCGAGGACCCACAAAACGACCGATTTCAGCATCAGGGAGTTGCCAATTCCCGTCATTCGCGTGCCAAACTCTAGTGGGACTAAGCATCCCTTTTTACGATTCACCTCAATCACAGAAACTCCCTCCCCATTTTGTCGTTGTTGTTGATGAAAACACTGAATTACCTTCTCTTCCGGCTAAAATTTGTCATGGCACGCTTTTTTCAAGAGTTCTCCTGGAAATCTGCATAGTACTCCAAGTAACGAACAAAATCCTTTCGAGTAAACACACCCTAACGAACCCGGAAGAACCAACTGAACTTCTTGCCTTCCAGAGACACAGAAAAAAAAAGAAAAAAGGAGGACGTCAGACGTCAATGGAAATCTCGAAAGGAAAGATGTAGGCAATGTTGTCCATGACAGAAGACAGTTTCCCATCATCCAAGTCCATATCCAAGCTCAGGCCGCAAGAGGATGAAAGGGTTCTCAGGCGCGGAGAACAGACGGGGATCTCATCCGTCTCGTCCTCACAGGATTTCAGCATGGCCCTGAGAGAAATGCAACGAGGATTTCGGAATGGCCATCAGAGTCATTGCAATGAGAAAAGATAAAATACTGAACAAAATTAAATACCTGTACCGGAAAATATCGTTACAACGAATGAATTCTCCCGACGAATTTTTTTTTTCGGTCCCAGGACGCAATCTCTTTTCAATTAGCTTCAACGAATTTTCGTTTATGATGAACCTTCCTTTTTCAAGGTCCCAAACGCTTCGTTGCAACGAGATTTCACTGCATAAAGCTAAAATAAAGTTTTTTTGCGTCTTACGTCATCCAATAAAAAAAAATATGGCAGAATTGTGGAACGAACACAACTCCATATTCGGCATTTATATCCACTCCGAGTGTCAACACTCGGCATTTCCTGTCAAATACAAATGCTGGTGATCATCTGATCCTCGCAAATATCATGAATACGAAATTAAATTGCCCTGGGGGAAATTAAAAGTCGGTCGAAAAAATAACAAAATCATTTACAAACCACCATAACGATCAAATTCGGACAGTTATACGCAAGTCCATCACGCATGGAACCTAAAAATGAATTTCATACACTTGAAGCACAGAGAATGAAAATTATTTACAGTATCTTGAAAAATATACCAAAAGAGAATCAATTCGAAAGAATTTTGATCAACATTCTCTATAGCATAAAATAAACAAAAATTCCAAACAACGAAGGAGAAGAGAGAGATAGAGAAAATAAAGAGGAAATAAGATCACCTGAAGCTTCTCGGAATCACCGGGTGCAGAACAGACTTGGGAAACCCATTGAACGTGGACGCCGCGGAAACGGTGTAGGCCCCCATGTCGGGCCACATGACCCAGTCCCCGATCTCCAAGGAAGGCAGAGTGACTTTCGGCAAGATGCAGTCCAGAGAGTCGCAAGTCGGGCCCCAGACAGACGACTGGTACAACTTGGTTCCTTCATCGTAGTCCTGCCCAAAAAATAAAATTGCATCACTTGTCAAACCGATCGCTGGGAAAACAAAGCCCAAACAACACTTCACTCGGTTTTTCAAGAAAAAGAATCCCATAAAATGTTCCCCTGCAATCGCCTGATTTCTTTTTTGAATACATTTCCTTAGAAGCCCATGCTCACATTTCACACGAAGATGACGAATTGCTCGAAGGCAGGGCGTTATGTGGGTATTTACATAATCAAAAATAAATTGTATCCATATACAGTACAGTGTTTTGAACTTTATCCCCCAAATTGAAAAAATTGAAGAAATTCACCACACAGTACTGTATTGCACAATACATGAACGCTAGAGGAATGATTCGTTTTCGAACTCGGCGAAGCACGAACTCTTTTTTTTTTTTCATCGTCTCATCACTGCATTTGAGTTAAACATCTTTCAACATGTTAAAAGACGTCTAAAATACATTTTTCCTGAGGCCGATGTTCAAATTTCTCACGAAGATGACAAATTGTTCGAATGCGGGGGGATGCGCGGACATTTACATGCTCTCAAATAACTTTCATCATGTATTCCTGCAATTTCAAATTAAAAATTGAAAAAGTTCAGTAATATTGGACACGGAACACTAGCCAAATTAAATTTCATTTTTATGCGCAGAGGCAGGAATTCTGCTTTTTCTTTTATAGTTTCAGCACAGTAGAATATTGGACTAAAGTCTAAAATTTGTTCAACACGTCTAAAATTTTCCGTAATACAGACAGTGTTTCAAAGAACAGAAAAAAGAGAAATTTCTGCAATACCAACATGCAAGAGCTTCGCAGTCACCACCTGGTGATCAAACAGAATGCAATTGAAGCTCCCATAGACACCATCATTGACGTAATACATGTTCCCCGGATGATCCTCGCCCCTGTTGTCGTCGCCGCCGTCGTCCACATTCACCTTCACAGACTCCAGCTTCGCCTGACGCTTCCCAATAATGCAAGTCACCAGGGTGAAGGCCGAGGTCACGAAGAACCTTCCGGGCTCGCTGATGAGCCGCACTCCGCTTCCTTCCGGGAAATGCTCATCCAAAGACAAGCGAATGAGGCTCGCCATTTGAGAAAATGCAGCCGAGGAACGCTCCCCGCCCGGGAAACCTCCGCCAATGTCCAAGAGGGAAAAGTTGAAGCCCATTTGAGAAGCCAGGTCGAATATGGCTCGGCTGGCCTCGATGGCACGAGGAAACGCAGCGAGGTCACTGCACCCAGACCCAACATGGAAGCTGCGGAAAGTGATGACATACAACTTCAGTAGGGCCCTGGTGTATACGGACACTAGAAACGAAGAAACACAACCTCTGCCCCAACATCTGGACAACGTTTCGAGAAATGGACACTTTTCCCGAAATTTCTAGACAAACGGAAACATTTCTTTCTTTAAAATTTGGATATTTTGTGAACAAATTGTGCTATTTATATTCACGAACATTGAAAATTTGAAAATAAATTTACTCAAATTCATAATCAAAAACAGGCTAATTTAGTGCTTCTTTTTGGACTCGTATCCATCTTTGCACAGGAGAGCGACTTTTTTCATTTTTTTTTATTTACTTCTGAAGCTGGTTTAGATACCAAAAGATCAGATTCTCTGCGGGTTTCTCAAGCACAATCACTTTCCGCATCTTCAAGTTAAAGAACAATTTCATTCCATTTTCTAGTGGGACATATCCCAAAATTTTCAACAACACGAGAAGCAATGAAATATGTTCTCATTGATGTCCATGAGAAAACATCCTGCGTTCCGACACCCGGACAAGACCCAAGAACCAATTACGGCCGCATCTTGGGGCACCACCACTATTATTTGCTGTGTCACGCCGTCAACTTGAATAACGAAACCTTTCAAATAAATAGCTTAACCAAAAAAAAATCTCAATCTATAGTCGTTTCCGCTTCTTGAATTAATGAAAAAATATTTCCCACAACCTTTCAAATACGGTACGTGTGTTGGCATAACTAGTCAATGCATAATCACAACGTGAACGTGGACGAGTAAATCGAAAATGCTCTCACCTCACACCGACGACATTGAGACCCAGGTTGGCGGCAACAGCCAACAAATGGGGCACGACTTGAATATCAGCACCAAACTTGATTCCAAGCGGACATTGAGCCTCGTCAGCGTCAGCTCTGATCCTCACGACGAGCCTGGCACTCGGGTACACCTGCTTGATCTTGTACAGCTCAGCGTCGTTGTCAAAGGTCATCAGGTCAACTCCTGCTCCAGCAGCTGCCTTCAAGTGCGAGTTGGATTTGCACGGGTTCGCATAAATAATCCTGTCTGCAGAGACCCCGAATTCCTTCACCTTCTGGATCTCTCCCTGTTGGCCACAAACGAAAGAAACCCCGCTTGTTTTCTTCGTTGATCCAATTAAAATCTCATCCACTCTCGACTCACTTTCGAAGCACAATCAAAGCCGACGCCCAGAGTCGCCATCAGTTGCAAGACGCAGTCCGTTTCATTGCACTTGACGGCTGGAGAAAACAACACGTAGAAGGAATTAAGGACACAAAAAAAAAAAACTCGAATTCCTTTTAAAAACAGCTTCATCTACGATTTAAAAAAAATAGCAACCTGACATCCAATTAAACCAGTTCTCAACAGGATGCAAACAAAACAAGTCAAGTACTTATACAAAGAAAAAAGCCAACTACAGGTGGTCTATCTTTACTACCTTTTTGGTACTTTCATGTTATCTCAGTACCTACTTTCCTGTTTTCTCTGTACCTTCCCTCTGACCAATTCAACATAACCTAACCTAACTGCCTCCCAAAATCAGTTTCTGCTGAAACTGATTTTTTGGGAGGCGGTTAGGTAAAGTTAGGTTATGTTAATTAAAAGATATTTGTAGCTAACATAACCTGACCTAACCTAACTTTACTAACTGCCTCCCAAAATCAGTTTCAGCAAAATGCAGAAAAATAAAATTCAGTTTCTGGTAGGTTGTTTTGAATCTTTTGATTATGAACTTGTCCTAAAGATTTGCCTGAGTGTTAGTGCGGTCTAGGAATGAGGTACTGAGATAACAGGAAAGTGCCAAATTTTTCTCTGCAGTAAAATTTCATAAGAAAATTTTCAATATAACAAAATTTTTCTCGAGTCCCAGCAGAAATTCCATAGAATACATGTTGAAAGAATCTGGTTATAACCAACTTCTAATTCCAGGAAAAAACTCTTTCTTGAGGAATTTTAAATAGATTCTTCAAGCAGAATTTTCCTGACTAAGGCAAGCTTAGCCTGAAATTTCAAATCCCAAATGTGCCTGATTGGTAAGCTGTAATCAATGACAAAACATGCAAAAATCTGAGAATGCCAGAAAAAGCAAGACCTTACTTATTCTAGGCAGGTCTGATATGAAAATTTCTCCCACTGATTAATTTTAGAAAACTTCTTTTTACAACAAATTATTCACTACAACAAACATTTTCTGAAGCCCCCAAAAGTTTGTTGCAACAATATTTTACTGTATAACACTTTTCTTTCTGCTCCCTTGAAATTCATTGTATAGACTATAGAGAGTCCACCTGTACATAACATTTTTTTGCCTCACGTACCGTAGAAAGGTTCGACCCGTGGCAAGTGCTTCTTCCACAACTCAAACTTGGTAATGATACTGCCTATGTCCACTATGTAGAAAGCATCTTCGGAAGTCTGCGAAAGCAAAATTCAAGTCATAAACGAATAAAGTTAAAAAGTAAATCTCAATAATAAATCTCACCAGTCCTGAAATGATTTCGTTGGCTACGTCACGCACTTTAAAGTTGTCATCAACGAGGGGATAGTCGAAGAGGCCGGAATCACGAACAGCGATAGTTTGGCGCATGGCCGCAAGAAGCGAGTCCTCCGCACTGCAATCGCACCACATGCTTTTTTTTGGCAAACTAAAGGCAACGCAAGTTAGCGCTAGTGTGCTTTTACGACAGGCCCTTTCTCAAACGTCAACAGTTACGCATAAACCTCAAGACATGGTACTGCTTCCTGACCACAGGTCGGAATGTTCGTCACAATGGTTCACATCATTTGGTTCATCAGGGCATCTAAAAGATAAGACATCCTTTTCCAACGCACTTCGTCTTCGTTTGTTTTGAGAAGATATTCACTAACACATACACATTCGTAGGCTGAGGATGTTGAAATGGCCATATAAACTCAATTGTGCTCCGGAAAAAGGCACCCATGCCCAAAATGTAACTTTACATCGTGCCACTTCGAGCTTTTTCCCCATTTTGGATACGTGCATCACCTTCTTGATTGATGATGCTCAATGAATCAAGAGTGGCCTCGTCATTTCACCACGCTCACCCCACAAATGTCGAGCATCTTCGGATGTTCGTGAATGGACGCCCTAAAGCACACTAGCGCCGGGAAATCTCCGCGAGGAGGAGGGAAAAACCACTCACGGAATGTAATATGGACGATGCTACCGCGTCCCGGGACGAGCCACAAACCACGGCGGCTCAGCGTTCAGGACGAACCTCCAATTCAACGTGTACAGAAGATGCGGACCCGTGAGCTTCCGGAACGGGGCGAGCGAAGGTCTGACCTGCGAAAAAATGACACGAGTCATACAACTTTCCAAGAAGTTGAAGGGATTTGAGGGGGATCTTACCCAAAAAGACACTTGCTGCCCCGACTGGGGTCTGGCCCTTGGAGGAATTTTGAAGGCGGTAGAAGACCTCGTCCGAATACACCAACCAGCTCGGACACAGGCGTTTCAAGAGATTTTTTTCGGCAGCCCTGTAACTCCGGCGACAATCACATACAATACACAGCGGATCGCGAAACTCCTCTGAAATCGCGGAAAATGAATTATTCAACGTTGACGCAATAACCAACGAGAAGTTGATCTTTGCGGGACGATCTCACTTCGAACACTTCCCACGCGGTCACAAACCGCACAACTTTCGCGCAATATCACGTAAATCCGCACAATGTCCCATCAATGAAATGTTCCGTGAGGAGGAGAACAAGCATTCCCGTGGCGCAGCGAAGCAAAACTCCATCTTCCGTCGGATCATTTCCCTCTCTGTGTCAACTCATGTCATCTGATGAGTGCCTCCTCCTCTTAAAATTTTTATTGCACCATCGCCCTGATCGTCCCCCGAGATACCGTTATCCAACAGAAGCTAACATTTTTCCTTCGAGGGCTCGATCACCGGTACCAACTACGATGGGCAATAAGGATACTTAATTCTTATTCAAGGAACATTCCTCACGATCGAAAGCCAAGCAGTGAATAGAAGGCATTTTCACAGAACGTACGTTCGAAGACTCTAACCACATGACGACGTTGCTGGCAGTCATCTGACCTTATTCGAAACAGCGAGATGGCTGACTTGGAATATGAAACGAATGAATTGATTCAGGTTCCATCTTAACCTCGCCCGTACTTTTTTTTAGGACATATGTGGTGTTGTGTTCGCGAACCGGTTTGACTGGGGAATACCAGCCCGGTAAGTCACACGACACCCTCACAAGACATAAAACAAGGTTGGTGAGAAGCAAGTCATGCCGTACCTCACTGCCAACCTTGATCAACAGGCATAATGATTGTGATAAACGCAGTTTTTGACTACAAGACATCCAGATGGCGATCAATGAAATGAACTAGATAGTAATGGGTTCACGATGTGACGCAAATGCAATTTTACCATACCGGTCACCGAACCTCTAACGTACTCTTCCATACTGCTTCAGTACATTACAGATTGCATTTAGCCCGCTGTGAGTCTTCTGTCGTTCCCGAATCAAAAATCATCTCTTATCTTCTTACTTAAGTTGAATCTCTTGCACAATCAACGTTCTGCTGATAATCAGGATACAAATGTGATGAAAAATCCAACTCTTCATCATAGCATGCTCTCGTGCAGTGTAAGACGTGTGCGTGTATGTAATACTGTAGTGCATTGCCTGTGTACCTGTGCATGATGATTGTTCGGTTGTCCCTCCTTAGAAGCCACTGATGGGAGGAGAGTTCAGGCCTGTTGCTTCCGGTGACCTGTGGCTGCTTTCCTGCATACCGGTCTGATGTCATGTCTGCAGCGGGAATCCCGCAAGTTCTACAGGAATCGCCACTTGGATGCATGTGATACGTGTTAAACTGTACTGTATACTGTACTTTACTATAGAGACCTGCATGTGGTAATATATAGCCGAAACTATGATGAGTGATCGTGTAACTCCATATCTCTCAATAACATATCTGGCGACGGTACGATAAACCCACGATTTCTGACGGGGTGAATTATTAGAGTTGAATATGTTTGTGGAAGGATCAATCCATCGTCGTGGTCGCGGGTGATCCAGCAGTTCTTAATTGTCGCACATTATATCAATTCATTATACTCATCGTCATCTGAGCGATACATTCGGCGTAATAGGATCATATATGCGCCTGATGCATGCTGCATGTATAGGTTGAAAGAGACAGCGACGGCGATGACGAGGACCCTTTGCCTGGAATTCCTGCTTATCCGTGAGTGATATCCGTAAATTGAGTTAATTTTCGGTGTGAACTCCGTACGTGTGGCGATGAGGCCATTTCTTTTCCTTTCCCGTAGTGTGGAACTGAGTGCTGCTGCTGCAGGAGCGGGCGGGGAAGCTATATAATACTGGAGTGTCGTCGGGGTGTGCTACTGAAGGGGAAGTCTGGAGCAGGGTTCGTCGGAGGGAGGCCTATACATGGTGGTGCTACTGCTGCTGCCGGAACTACCTTGCGAGCAAGCTGCCTGCCTGATGCCAGTGTCCCTCTGCTCTGTATCCCCAGAGCATATGCTCCTGTGGCTCCCATTCCGACCATTCTTGCCCTCGCCGTCATCAGAGTGAGTTCATCGTCATTATTATTATTATTATTACTGTATTATTATGCCGTCTCTTGTGTAAATCATTGCCTCGTCTGATGCGTGAATCTTCGCCATCGGCAATCGTTCTCCTCGCTTTCATATATCATCATCATCAGCGATCTTGTGCACTTCTGTGCTCTGAAAATGTCTCATGTGATATTGTGCGTGCTGTGACAGTGAAACGAAATTCACGCCCTTTGCTAGTATGTTTCTCAAATTTGATTGCATCGTATATAATATCCGCTTCTCTTTTTGTTCGGCGATTTTTGACCGTGTATACATGAAGATCCAATCGTGAGGAACATAAAAAGAAACCCTGCTAATTTTTCCATCATCGGCTGACAGCGCATTCAAATGCGAAAACCGACGTTTATACTGTAACAGTGTAACTGTATATACGTAAGTGAGTAAAACCGGATCGAGAATAAAGGTGATACGCGGAAGTATCGAGTTTAGAGGTTCTGAAATTTTTCAAGTGCCTTTATATGAAACACATTCGAGAATACATGCGTGCTTCATATATTCTGGATCCCTGTGATTCATTTATATTCCCGCAAGTGTATTTTTTGTAGTTGAACGTTAAACGCGTCGGAAACAAAATAGTTTGGGCTTTAGTTTCATAGATGTCGCCAATGAGCATGAAATTAGAGTACTGTACAGTAATTTCAAGTCCGGTTCCCTTATGATTCTCGCTGTGATTTTAATAGGAAAGAAAGTCTTGGTGGGATTCCTTCGAGCTTATTTCAAGTAGTGTGTATATCCCTCGATGAAGGAGCGACGGAATTGATTGATTTGAGGTTGTTTTTTTTGTGTGTGTGTGTGTGTGAGGAAAATGAGTGATGGTTTTTGAAAACGGGCAGACGGCGATGAGTTGCTGATGCTGCTGGGGAACGTCGTCGACAGAAACCCTCATTATACTGAATGTCGGCTCTCGGGGGCCCTGAGGAAAAATCAATTACTGCCAAGTGGTGAAAAGCAGGAAAATTGAGGCACTTCTCCAGCTGTATGATGATGGGGGGGAAGAGGAACAGGGATGAGGGGAAATGCCAGCATGTGAGACCTTCATGTGCAGTAGTATATAGTACAGAGTACAGTGGAATAAGGAATATAGTGTATGTATAGGTATGGGGCATTCAGGAGCAATTACCAGGAGTGAGACTATCCTGTCTGTGATGGGGCCATTTCCACATCTCCCTCATGCAGGTGCTGCTGCTTCAGAGAGAGAGAGATGTGGAATGATGATGCCTCACTCTTGTATACAGTACTGTACAGAATATACAGTACTGTGTATATGCCACTGCACTGTATTGTACAGCAGTGTGTATACCTCTTATTCTGCTTGCAGCATCACAGGGCAAACAAAATTGTGACCTGTTGGGTAAAGCTAGAATAACCTGTGATCCTGACTGATGAGTAATTCAAACATTTTACAAATTTCTGTACTGTATATATGCTGAGGGGCAATGAGGTCATAAGTGCTGTGTCATTTTCTTCCCTCATCAATGTGTGAAAAATTCAGTCATATACTTTATTTCAATTTGTCATGGTCTATATGCATACTCTCTCTCTCTCTCCAGCACTTTATTAATCCTCTTATTACTGTATGTTGACTCAAGAACCACCTGCCCTCAAGAGTAATAAGATACGCACCTGAGTTTTTCATTTGAAAGTTTTGATGAAAATGTATTGCCCAAATTAAGATGCTGCTGTGCATGCAATTTTTAGTGATACTCTAAAATCACAAAATGTTGAAAATATAGGGTATCCAAATTTGAATGTAGTCATAAATTGAACTAGATTTCAACTATTTTTCAAATGCTTCAATTAAAATAATTTTTTCTGTTTGACTTTGTTCAAAATTTCCCTTCAGGATCAAGTATAATGCACACCAGAATTTTTATACTTTTTCAAAAATGTAAACCTATCTATAACATGCACCCTTCTCTTCACTCTGAAATTTGAGAGAACATGTGTTTGTGGTGCTTGAGTAAATATGGTATTCTTATTTTAGTCTTTGGGCTATTATGATGTGGGCCCAGGAAGCCAAAGAAAAAATGTAATTTGATGCCTTTCAAAAGAAAGTGAGTGATTCATGAGGGAAAAGTACCCTTGCCTCCAAGTTCAGTATCATTTTTCCACTCATTTATTGACAGATTGAGGCTTAAAATAGAAAACAATTTCTGCTATTCCTTTTTACACTTTATAGTAATAATTGCTCTGCCTTGGCAATTAAAAAAATGAAAAATGCAGTAACTTTATAAATGTCTGGCATTATAAAATTATATATTTTTTACAGAGAATGCCAACAATTCTATGTACTTATACAGAGGTATCAGAATTCAATTCCCCAAATGTCCATATTGTGTTGAAATGTATTGATTGGAATCAGTTTAAATTGGGAGACAACTTTTATTTTCATGGAATTATGGTGAGTATATTTTGTACATAAAACACCAATTAAATATTATATAATGTAAGTCTAAGGGAAACTGAGACTCGACTTGGGGACATTTTATATGGTGAGTATATTTTGTACATAAAACACCAATTAAAAATTATATAATGTAGGTCTAATTGAAAATGAGACTTGACTTGGGGACATTTTGACTTAGGGACACTCTTGATGCACCAATTACGTACGCATCTCGGGGTCTCACTTTCATCCCCCAGTTGCAATTAACCAGCATCAGGACATACTGTATATACAGAGTCCACGCATGTTTGATGTGTTGCATCTGTTTGGTCTTTTTGTTGTTGTTGAAAGAATGTCAAGTTCATTTTCCGCGAGTATATAATTCTGTACATCCCATCAGCATATGCATGAAGCAAATTAGGAGGAGGATGAGTTGTGTCTGCGCATTCCTGGCATACTAGGACAGCTTTGATATGAAGCATAATGCATGAGGTGTTTTGTGCGGTTTACGTATATAACATCCAACAGCAGCAGCAGCAGCAGAAGGTTTGCTTGATGGATTTTCTTGTTTTTTTGTTGTTGTTGTTAGTTGTTGTGAGCAAGATATGAGACCTTGGAGCTCACTTTTTGAGATGCTGGTGAAGGAGTGAGTGTGTGTGTGTATCTATCACATGCATCTTCAAACAAACACACACACACACACACGGGCTAGTGATGTGAGAGAGATATATACAAGGGGTCTAACGAAAGTTCTTGGAATATAAATTGAAATGGCCTATAATTGAGCTGAAAAAGAATTATCCTTTAGGGAAAACATAATCTTTGGCACAACAAAAAGAAACAGGAAAAGTTATTCTCTGGAACAAGAAAAAATAATCAGCCCTGTTTGACACATTTTTGTTGTTGAATGTTTTGCAAAAGTCACCCTGGCAGAGTTTTGCTCTCCATTCAAAAGATGAGGCACCCTTCCTGCAGATTTTGGTGTTGATCGGATGTAAATTAATTCCAAGGGTTGCCTCCAGGTTGATTTCAAGAATTCTGAGGGGAAACATGGGCTATACAGCAACAAAATCTGCTGGAAGGGTGCCTCATCTTTTGAATGGAAAGCAAAACTCTGCCAGGGTGACTTCTGCAAAACATTCAACAACAAAAATGTGTCAAACAGGGCTGATTATTTTTTCTTGTTCCAGAGAATAACTTTTCCTGTTTCTTTTTCTTGTGCCAAAGAATATGTTTTCCCTAAAGGATAATTCTTTTTCAGCTCAATTATATGCCATTTTAATTTCTATTCCAAGAACTTTTGTCAGACCCCTTGCATATATATATATATGAGCTCAGGGCAGGTCTCTAATGTACACATCACTCACTCACTCCATGGCACCTGTAGGATGGAATGGGATTGGATAGCCAGGAGCAGCAGCAGCAGGAGGATGAGGGGGGGAAGAAGCTTCTGATGGAACAAGTGGGAAGGACAAGAGAAAAAGAAGGAGAGGAGGTTGCTGGTGCTGGTGCTGGTGAAAGGCAGCCTGGATGAGCTATATAACAGCAGGAGAGACATTTAAAGGAAAGGGGGGTTGGGGGGAGGAGGAGAAGAAGTGAGGTGGGGAGCATGTATGTATTAGTGTATAGGTGTATATACACAGAGGGCAGCACCAGCAGAAGCAGCAGAGACATATAGCTACTTCATCTTGTGCTGCTGCTGGTGACGCATGCAGGTTGGGGTGTGTGTGTCTCTCTCTCTCTCTTTCTCTCTATGATGAGAGGAGCCTGTTGCTTCATAGAGAACCTGTGGCTCCTGTCTCTGCTTGGGGGGAACCTGCTTGCTGCTGCTGGGCAACTCAACTGATGCCCATCATCCTTTCCCATATCCCAGTTATATGCATGCTCATGCTGCTGCAGCCACCTGTCTTCAATCAAGTCTCCTGCTGCTGCTGCTGCTGCTGTACACATTATATATGTATACAATGTACAGTTAATGTATGCATGGTTTTTCTTGGAATTTTCTTTTCTTGTTTCACCTGATGGAAAATTGCATATTCACAATGGGTGCAGAAATTATGCATATTGTTGGCTCTAAATCTGCTGCTGCTGGGCACCAGCACAAAGAGACAGATTTTTGCAATCACCATGTTGATTAATTGAATTAGTCAACAGCCTCTTTCTTTGGGTAAATAAAATGAAATGAATCTTGCACATTTCAAAGCAGTCAGTTTTAGCCAAGATGGTTAGCTTTTTTTTTCTTCTCTTGACAAAAGACTGGTTTTTTTCAATTATTGGATTGATTAAATAAATTATTAAGTATATAGCCTCTTATTATTATTATTATTTTGTGATTGCTCCTATGATGCTGGAATATGGCATGGCAATTAATTTCTGCCCAATATGTGCAGCAAACTTTCTTTGACTTTATGGGTTTAGCCCTTTGGATAATACAAGGGAAGTGGAAAGAAAGGAAATCCCAGGACCTACCCCCTAATAACAAGATCATAGATACTACATCCCTAGACTGAGACCTGCTCATATTTCGTTCGGGTCCTAAAAAGAAGGGGGGTCGACAAAATTAAGGCTGGGGGACACACGCAACTCTATAAGCTCCTTGCTGCTGAGACTCTGAGATGATGTTGTAATCCTCCGTCTCTATTTTTTTTTCTCTGTGTGTAATATTTTATTTAGAAAAACCTATAGGATTGAGCATCAGAAAATGAAGAAAAAAGATTTCTGGAAGATTATAATATCTACTAAGTACAGAAGAGCAAAAAACTGGAATATTTACTTGGAAGTATTTACGACGTACAACCTTTTCAACTACTCACCAATAACAAAAAGGAAAAATAATAAAACGTCCACCCAGGTTTCCTACGACACAGCCAAGAAAAATGACCTTTTTGACAGAAATCTGTTACTGCATGAATGGTGACAGTACAGTATACAAGCAAGGATTTCCCAGCAGTGGATTTGTTGCTGTTTATAATTAAAGGTACAGTATTGTATATGTATATATACAAGTATGAATTTATTGAACTGATTTTTTTCCTCATTGAATATCTACCAGATTGAAGGTATTTTTTATGTGTGTGCAGTTTTTGTCAATTTGAGGAGGAAAATGGCTGCTGTTGGAATGTTGGGGGGATCATCTTCATCAGAAGGAGAAGCATTAAGAGCAAGCATTGGATGTGCCAAGCTTCAGACCACCTTTTGGAAACCCTACCATCACAGAAAATCTGAGCCAGGGTTAAAGATCCTGCTGTTATCTTGTCTCTAGTATTTGTCCTGCTCTTAGTTAGCAGCTGAATTTCAGGTACAGTGGCTCATTTATTCCTTCTTTAACCTTTGATGACAGGGTATCCTAATGTAGTTACTATAGAAAGGAATTTAGGCATGTTGTATTATTTGCAGTTGAATTGTGATAACTTCAACATACCTCCATTTGTCAAATCTTGTTTCCAGTTCATTGTCTGAATTTCCAGAGAAGCAATGATTTTTAAATCCTCAAATTGACTTCCCCTCAAATCGCTATAACTCATATTTTCTTGAGGCCCTTTGGTTGTTATTTTTATCAACACAGGAACAAGAAAGCAGTCAAAATTAAAAACAGGTGTTTTGAAAGGAAGTGAAAGACTAATTGGGAAAATGGAACAAGTTCAGTATCCTGTCAACTCCTTTGCAAGGCAGTTTTTGGCCAAAAAATATGTCTGATTTCAATTTCCTTTGATTCTTTTTTTTTAAGGCAAAAATGGTAGTTTAATTGATCTTCCCCAAGTTGAATTATTTTGCTGGTCTCATGGGATTTGACTTGAAGAGCTTCAACTGTACTTGAGTATACCACATGCACCTTTTTTTTCTTTCCTGGAAATGCATGCTAAAAGATTGAGGTGCACCTGAAGTACCTTATTGTACTTGGGTATAAGTATTTGAAATTTATTTGGTGGGCATAATATTCATATCACACAGTCAATTACATGAATGTAGAAAAGCTACAAGGGTAAACATTTTAAAGCTCAATAAGAAAATACTTTTGCTTCCTATAATCAGCTTTGTTTATTATTTCCAGGTATTATTATATTTAATCCTACATTTAAATTTATGCATGTATCGTGTATATTTATACTGCAGTTTACTTAATTCATGGATCACCAAATAAATGTGGGGGGATACGTTCTCAGTCAGATTCGAGGAGTCTCACAATGAAGTTCCCCGCCTGTTATTAATTCATTCGTTTTATAGTTTGTTTATGATGATTCTGTCTCTCTTCATCTCCAATGGGTATACAGTATTGTAATATCTGTCCTGTAGTAATGTACTTTAAAAATTAGTTATACACGAGTATATGTGATCATACTGTACTGCACTGATGCATAGTTCTGGATAAACTGGGCCTGACGAGGAGGATGTCCAAGAGCAAGGAGAACTCGGGCAGCTTCAAGGTGTCCTCGCCCTCGGCGTCCATCAAGATGCTGAGCCCCAAGATGCAGAGATCCGTGAGGATCCACGACACCCAGATCCAAAACCTGTTTGAAAGGGCACGGTTCGACCAACACGTTGCCGGGTATCTCTTCAAGCGCACTTCGGACAACACCAAATGGCGCTGCAGGTTCTAAATATATATCTGTATATACTGTATTTCAAGAACATTATTTAAGCAAGGATACGGTATAGACTATAGAGTACATTTGTATCTGTACTTTACATGAAGTTTGGTGCCATTGAGAATGTTCGAATTATAAAAAAGGGGGAAATGGGAGCCTTCATCTGTCTTTACATTGAAATTGGGAAAGGGAGGAAGTGATTTAGGGGGAAGGGGTGCAAATTGGCAGATGACATATATTAAAATATATACAGCGTGTACAAAGTTGGATCTCTCAATCTAAATCAATGATGAAGGGCCCCCAAAGAGAACAATAATTGACTTGAAAAATTTGTTTGAGTTGGAGAATTGCAGTATAGTATTCGTTTGAGTGCTATATGTGCACCTTTTATTCTGAAAAGTGAGAAGAAAAATCATAGGTGATGGCATACATTTTTGAAAAAGTTTCAGAAGTTTATTTGTGCATTATACTGTACTTGATTCTAATGGGAAAATTTTGAACAAGTTCATCAGAAGAACTTGTTTTTATGAACAGTTTGTTTTTACAATTATTTGAAGTCAGGTTTGATTCATTCTTCATTGGGAATGAAAGTTTATTATTGAATTTTTACCCTGATAACCCTGATGGGTGTGAATCTTTCTCAAGACTGTGTGCGTATTACTCAATTAAATTTGGTATTTGGCTTCATTTGGTTGGGTTAATATGAATGGAAACTGTTCCCTGGCCAAATTTTTATAGAACTGCTGTTTATGATTCATAGGTTACAGAAGGAAATGATTGTGTGAGTCAGCTTTCTCCACCCATAACTTTTTTTCTGTGAATATCTTTTTCTATGGGTCTTAGTTGGAAGACAAACTGTTAATTTGTATGTAAAGATACTGTAACTACTGTGGGATCACCAAGTTGTTGCAGATTCAGACTCATTATAAGGAATTATGAAGGGAACTTTATGTTTGTTTTTCAGATGGTTCCTGCTGTACCAGAATCTCCTGTTCTATGCAGAAACTGATGAGGCCAACAAACCCTCAGGGGTGGTGTTTCTTGAGGGCTGTTACTGCGAGAGACTCATCACCCCTCTGGGGTCAGGACCGAAAGGAAAGGACTCTGACAAGCAGCTTTCAGTAAGTCTTCATTCCTAATATCATTATCATTATTATTTTTTTTGAAGTGAGATTCCTCAGTTTATAATTCCCTTATTCTGGCGATGATACAGTATTTATTGATGTTTTATTGGCCATGACAAAATTCCTGGATTTCATCATGTGCTCTTTATGGCCTTTTTTTTAAAATACTTTCAATTTTGGAAAAATTCTTCTGATGAATGAAGTACTATGCATAAGTATTGACTCTTTTGATGTTGTAGAATGGCATTCTTTTCATCATTATTTCAGCACTGTTTTGCCATCACCTACCGGAGGGAAAACCAAAGGCATTATGAGCTGATGGCAGAAACAGAGTCGGACTGCAAGGCTTGGATAGATGCCATCAAGCAAGCCAGGTGAATTGGGCAACATTTATTGCATTGTGCTTTTGTGAAGCAGGTGCAGCACTTGAAGAGGAAGAACATAATTTTTATTTGTGCCTTATTGATGGGTGTCATTTTGGTACTTTCCTGTTATCTCTGTACCTTCCCTCTGACAAATTTAACCTGACCTAACCTAACTTCACCTAGCCCCCTCCCAACTCCCAAAATTAGTTTCAGCAGAATGCGGAAAAATAAAATTCACAGTTTCTGGTAGGTTGTCGTGATTATGAACTTGTCCTAAAGATTTTTCTGGATGGTAGTGTGGTCTAGGAATGAGGTACTGAGATAACAGGAAAGTACCATTTTTTGGAGTTGTTATTATGTTTTTAATGTGATGTTTGCTTGATGTAATTTTGTGCAGCTTCAACAAGATGCTGTTGCAAAAGGAGGAATTGGAACAGAAGCACTTGCATCTACTGCAAATAGTGGAGAGTGAGAAGACGGCCAAGTGGCAATACACCCAACAGTGCGAGGAACTGACTTTGGAGATCAAGAAGTTGAGAACTGAGGTTAAAATTTTCTCACCCAAGATGCTTTATGCGTATCTCAAGAGCTCGATTTGTTTTTTTGCAGTTGTGCCAATTGAAGAGAGAATGGAAGTTTTTGCCGAATACGAAATCCCGGTCTGCGAGCAGTTCTGAAGAAGAACCCGAGGAGATCCGGAAAATCAAAAAGGTTCAAAGTTTCTTCAGGGGTTGGCTGTGCAGAAGACGTTGGAAGCAGATTGTGGAAGAGTATATTCATTCTCCTCATGCTGAGAACATGAGGAAGCGCAACAGGTCACTACAATATATAATTTATTTTTCGCCTTACTTTTTATAATTGTCATTCAAATACATTATTTGAGCCCTGGTTCATCATCTTATTTGTCTATAATGTCCATTCTCTTTCATGTACAGTATTCAGAATAATTTTGGATGAATGAGAATGGATTTCATTCCAACAATAATATAACAAGGTGTTCTGGATTGGAAAGTGACCTTATACTGAAAAAAAGTGAAAATTCTGCATGACCAGATTCATGTTGGAGAAAAGGTGATTTAACCCTACTACATTTTTGAACAAAAAAAAATTCAAGACAAAAAATATAGATGATTTTTTGAAAGTTTGAGGTTTTTATATCAAAGCCAACATTTTGATGAAGAAAAATTGAGAAATTATTGTCTTTTCTGGAATAGCAACACAATTTTATAATTTCCAAGAATGAGTTGAAAGCTTTAAATTACCAGGTTTACTTTTGAATTTTGTTCTCACTCTGGAATATTGATAAATTTATGGGGAACCAAAGCAAAATCTTGGTTTACATGAAATAATTTCTGCACAGCAGCAAAAATAATTTTAGAATAGATGAGTTTTATGATGGGGAAACCCACTGTATATGAAAGCATTTGATTCCTCCTGTTGAACCCTTTATGCTTGAATTTTGTTCTTTTTAGCAAAGGAACTTTGACCTGCCACATTTGCAACTTGAAAAAAAATTTTTGAAAGTCAAATTGCTACCAACTATAAAACATGATTTCAAGTAATCCAGTTTCCAGCGACCTTTATTTCAAATTACTAATGAGATTTTGAACCTAGCTCCATCAAAGTAGATGTTGCATGTGGTACAAAATTATTAATTTCATTTTAAACTGGCCTTTTGAAAACTTCAAAGTGCTCTTTCTTCAACTATCTTACATGCAGCTTAGTATTTCGGATGGTGGAGGCAGAAGAAGAGTATGTAAGACAGCTGCAGATCCTCATCTCAGGGTTTCTAAGACCCTTCAAAATGGCGGCCTGCTCAAGGAAGCCCATCTGCACACATGAGGATGTCAACTCCATCTTCCTCAACAGTGAAACTGTCTTCTTCCTCCACCAAATCTTCCTCAAGGGTCTCACTGCTAGGATGGAAAATTGGCCCACTCTAGTGCTTGGTGAGGTTTCAATGCATGACAAATCCATCAGTGAGGAAATTTGGAATGTCTATAATATGAAGGGAGGAATTCCTTTTTTTTTCAGGAGACTTGTTTGACATGCTGTTGCCCATGTTGTCTATATACCAGGAATACGTGCGGAATCATCACTACAGTTTGCAGGCGTGTTATATAACATTTGTAAAATATGAAGTCTTGAATGTATGAAAAGACTCCTTGATTTTCCAGGTCGTGACAGAGTGCAAGCAAAATGTGGAGTTTGCGCATTTTCTTGACAAATTGGAAAACAAGTCTGGGATCCAAGGAAGAACTCTGGAGAACTTTTTGACCTATCCAATGCATCAGGTAAATTGTTTAAATAATGACCATCATATGATGGGCAGCATCAACATATTTTAGAAAATAATGTTTTGATATTTAATTGAACCTCTTCAAGTGAGGAGAGATATTCAATTGCATTTTTGAGTTGATGAAATTGATTGTATTCTGGTATCTGCTCAATATTCATGAAGTTTTCAAAGGAATGAGATGACAAACATCCCTGGTGAAGAGCCTGAAGGAAATAATTTTGCTTTTTTTTATTGTTCTCTGGAAAAGGTTTTCTAGAATTTAGCCCCAATTCAATATCGAAATGGTTTAAAAAATTTTGACAAAAAGGGAGATTGGTCAGAAATGTTATGAGCTAGAGAGGATTACATTGCATTTGACTTGAGACAAATTGGCCAGAGATACAGTAAAAAATCAAATTTGGGAAAATTGTAATAATTACGCATTATTAACAAACATGCAATTTTTTTTTACAGATCCCGAGATACATAATCACTTTGCACGAGCTGCTGGCTCACACGCCTTACAATCACGTTGAGAGGAAGTCTCTGGAAAATGCGCGGAATCAGTTGGAAGACCTGTCAAGGCAAATGCACGACGAGGTTGGTGAAATTGCCCTGTACAGTATATGAGAATGGATACTTATTATATACTGAGGGAGAGATATACTGTATATTTGTACGACACGTGACGTGTAAATAAATGATGACAGGTGAGTGAGACGGAGAACATCAGGAAGAACCTGTCAATCGAGAGGATGATTGCTGAGGGCTGTGATATCCTGCTGGACATGAACCAGGTCTTTGTGAGACAAGGTGATTGTGGTGCTGCTGGGGTTTTCTTCATATTGTATTTCTTCTCTTGCTGATGCGTCAAATGACTCAACTTTGGTCACTTTCTGTGCTGTGCTGCTCATTTGTACACAGGGACTCTTCTCCAGCTGCCAAAGAATAGGAAGAGCTCTTCCATGAGGAGTCTCATGGGGAATTTCAAGAGCTCTGAGAAGGACAATGTCAGGCAGTGCTTCCTCTTCACCAATCACCTCATCATTGCCACCAGGTATGTGGTATATATGAGCATATTCTCAGTCAGCGCCAGCATTATTGGCATACATGCAGTCATGCTTGAAACAGGATAGGATTTCCACATCTCATGAGAAGAAATAAGAAACCAACTTGATTAAAATCAGAAAAATGGCGATTCTGGGCAGAAAATTTGAAAAAATGCTGAAAAAAAGTGAGTTCCTATACATTTTTTCTTGGCATCCACCCTAGATCAGTGTTCCCCAAACTTTTTGGGCCCACAGACTGCGAGAAACTTTCCATGAAATTTTGTGCAGATTGGCAAATTTACAGAAGATTTTTTGCAGATTGGCAAAAAATGTTGTGTTTGAGAGTCTCAGGTGTTTGAAAAATAAAGTTAAGAACCAGGGTGAAGCAATTTCAGTGGAATCCCTTTAAAAATAATTAAAAAGGTTGGCTTGAAGACATGTTTTTCAGAATTAAATATTAAAATAATTCATTTCAGCAGGTAAAAAATTTGCCTGAAGCATTATTAGGAGAACATCCAAGTGTTACTTCTCATCAAATAATTTCAACTGCCATATTGTCTTTCCAAAATTTCAGAGGAAAATAACAGACTTCATTGCTACTTTAAATACATGTATTATGCTGAAGAAAATGTCCTTTGGATTGGAAAATAACTTCTGCATATATACTGGTGCAGGTCTGCAGATCATGGGGTTGGGGAACACTGCCCTGCAAGAATATGTATATGTTTTGTATGCTTGTCCAAATAACCCATAATTTAGTTGGAGCAATAGTTGGAGTTATTGAAGGGAAAACTGTTCCATGAGTTTCTTCTGAACACTTCAAATAAGTTTCAGAAAGTGATTGAAATCTTTTGAGTTTTAGCAGCTGCATTTGTATAATTGCACAGAAGAAAGTTAAAATGCTGACTCTATAGAAAGGAAAACACTCAAGCCAAAAACTGTTGCACACTTCTTACCAAACTTGAAATAGGAAGACTAATGCCTTTTAACTCAGGTTTCAAAATATCAAAATGCCAAGCATGGCAAATGAAATTCATTTCAGCTCAAACTTTGAGACAAGACACAGGAGGTTATAGCTGAAATATCCTGTGAAGATCAGCTGGTTAGTGCTGGTCAAAGCAGTCATGATGCTGGTTCAATTTTCCAACAGTTTACAGGACCACAACAAAACTGAGTTCAAAAATAACCTGTTGTGATTTTGATTCATGAAAAAAAAAAATAGGACATCAGGAGGAAAGCTGCACCTGGTGGACAAAGTGGGACGCATAGCCCTGAGTGACGTGTCCCTCATTGAAGACCCCCCGGAGACTTGTTTCTACGATGACCAAGATGGCGGGTCTTTGAACTCATCTCTGTCCTCGTTGTCCAGCGACAGCAGCTCTGGGCCAGCTATGCACCACATCCTGGCAGATGGGAGCAGCGGGAAGGAAACATATCATAATTTGGACTTTAAGATTGTGGTGGAGCAGAAAAGTGGTCCGCCTGTGACTGTTCATTTAGTGGCGTCAACCATGCAGGAAAAACAGGCTTGGGTCACTGACATCAGTCAGGTCAGCATTGAAAGGATGACCCCCTTGAAAAACATGCTGTGCAGTGACTGGGCTCATTATTACAATATACTTTTAAGATATTGTATGTACTGTATATACTCAATGTACAAATCCATGTACATGAGTAAGGGACTCCATGGAGAATGATTCTAAAAAAATTGTCTAAAAATGTATCCCCAGCATGTAAGATATGCAACCCAATTTTATTGTTTGAAAATTTCAGTACTGTATTTTGAAAATAAAATAAATCAGAAGCTGCATTTTGACTTGTATTGAACTTAAATTAAATGGTAATTTTACATTGCTTCCATTGAATCTTTCTTGTTGAAATGAGAAGTGTCCAAAAATTCCTGTGAGACTCAAGTCTAATATGCGCAACAAAGCTTTTTAAAATAGTGAAGATTTGTGTATACTCACCTACTTGTGATGTGCATTCTCTTTTGTTCTTCTTGGTTTAAAAAAAAAAAGTAAAGGTGGTACTTGAGTAAATATGGTATGCATACTCTCTGTGTAGTGCTTGGACAATGTGCACTTCAGCAGTGCAAACCTGCTGAACCCATCAGGACTCAAGGATGGCTCTTCAACAGCCATGTCAGCTTCAGCAGTCAAGTCAGACCCAAGGCTCTTCAAGGATGATGTAGACATCAGGTTCTCCAGGACACTGAATTCTTGCAAGGTAAATATTTTCCATATTGGTTAACTCTGTTTCTTGCAATTTCTTGTGGATTTACAGGATGAACTAGAGGTTATTGGTTGTATTTTCTTCTTTATATACAATTATTGCCCTTGCATGCAGGTTCCACAGATTAGATATGCCACCCCTGAGAGGCTGTTGGAGAGACTGACAGACCTCAGGTTCCTGTCAGTGGACTTCCTCAACACCTTCCTGTTGACCTACAGGGTCTTCACTGATGGCATGACTGTCTTGGAGGCCCTGAAGAAAGTCTACAATGCCACTGAGCCCCCAGAGGCTGATAACTTGTATCCCAACATCCCAGGAGGAGGCCATCACCTGTGAGACCCAAGCAGCTATATTTGTTTTCTGATGTTGAAACAATTTTAGAGAATACTTGTTTTTCTTTTACCTCGACGCAGACCGAATGTGATTTTCTCGAGATCACCAGCTATGAGCAGACAAGAAAGCTTTGATTCTCCTCTTCTGGACTCCAGGAGAAGCAGCTGCGCATCCAGAAGAACATCTGGTGAGAATGATATGTTATTCAAACCATTTCATTTGAAAATAACATTTGTGTATAACCCATGTATATGAAAATATTAAATTTTGCTTCTCCTTTTGCATGTTATATCATCAGGGACCTCAGACTGTTATGGGAACATAGATGTCACTGCTCTCACAAAAGGACAGCACTGGAGAGTCAGCTACAGAAAATGTGAGTGGATGCCTTATTTTATTGTGCTTTATCATTCTTCATGTGTCATTATTTGGATATCCAAAGTATTTCATGTGTATTATAGATTTATAGTGCATCATCCTGAGCTTATTTGTTTGCAGAAATATCCTGAAATCCCGGAATGGCTTTTGATGTACTGTATATGTATATGATGTATATTGGAAGTTTGCTTCATCTTATTTTGTACTGGGTTCAATATTATACTGTAGTATATTATGCAGTTGTTTACTTGTGTGTATGGTAACTCACAGTCAGCAATTGATGCCTATGTGAATTTGAAGGGGGGGAAAACAAATGAAAACTTGTTGATTCTGCTGCTGTGCTGCATATTGAGAACATGCTGGGAATAAGTTGTTGGTGTTTTATCCCCCCATTTGTTTTATGTATATATGCAGTATACTGTTGTGTGATGTTGTTGTTTTTGGTGAGTGTTTGTGATTTGTTGGCAGCATGTGGCTGTTGGTGCTGGGCTGCTGGTGAAGAGGTTTGATAGCGAAAGTGATAAAAATACAGGTCGCTTTCCCTCAGTTGAGGAGGAGCAAAGGGAGGCAGCTGGGCTGCATCTCATCCAAGAGACTGCTGGCAGGGATGACAATGATGACGAGTCCAGCAAGACCAATAACACCAGCAGGGATCAACAACAACAACAGCAGCAACACAGAGTGTCAGTGTCTAGTCCAGTCAAGTTGTCTGGACCCAGTCTGCCTCAGCAGTCTTTGCTGCTAGACACCAATAATAAGACAATGATCAAGTCTGCTGATGTGCTGGAGGAAAAGTTCCTGGCCATTCCCTCATCCAGTGGCAGAACAAGTGGGCAGCAGCAGACTCTCATTACTGGCTCTGCTGCTGTTGCGAGCAGCACCAGCACCAGCAGCACTGCTGACACTACAAATGGTAAATTCTCAATCATGATGAACAGCCCTGTGTAATAATAATACATTGAAATATAATTGCATCAATAGTAAACACTGTTACAACGATTTTTTCAGTAAAACAAACTTTTTTCCAAGTCCTGATGGCAAAAAACCTATGAGGTACATATTTGTAAAAAGTCTCTTTTTATAATAGATTTCCCAATCCCTGTATAACAACCATTTTTTAGGAATTTAAGATAGATTTCTCATCAGGGGAAGAAAACTCCAACCCCAAATGTGACAGAGTGATTCTTTCAGCATGGATGGAAGCTGAAATCAATGACAAACATGGTTCCAAGTGGTTCCACAAATCATCCTCTCCTAGGATGGAGAAATTGGTGCAACTGATGGAATGTATGATTTAAACTTGTTTTTTTTTTTCAGAAGGATCCCTCAGTTTTCCAAAATAATAATATAGAAAATGTGAGAATTAAAAAAAACAAGCTCTATATAATGGATCACAGTATATAGGCAGGTCTGATGTGAAAATGTTTTCCAGTAATTAAGTTTTGAAAATCTTGCTATAACAATCAAGTTATTCAGTATAACAAACTTTTTCCAAAGACCTTGAAAATGCGTTATTATGAGATTTTACTGCGGTTCTTTTTCTCAATTAGTGTTGAGTGTGTGCGAGTATAGGCAGCAGACTCATGTTGGAAATGTCTTCCTCCAGTTTCCCTGTTTTCAAAATGTCTTCGAGCGTATGTAATTACTTGCAAAATTACCCCGTCCACTGATGGGTTATTATTACTGTATTGCCCTGGGGGAAAAACATGCTTTTGCGCTTGTGTGTATATATTATAAGATGTAAGAATAAAGTCTCAGTTTCCCCTCCACCTCTCCTCTCTCATGAATGCTTCAGCACATCCCACACATTCATGATAAACCTTATCGACATGTGTCAGGCCAGAGAGTGCTGCAACTTGTGTGATATATATATATATGTATCCAGATCTCATGTATGAGAGGAGCCAGTGACCTGGAAAAGCCTGTGGTGCTATTTATGGAATCTGATACGTGTTTTTCTTTTATTGCTGAAAAGAAAGACTGCATTTTGCTCAGGGATGTCATAAAACAACACAATAAGCCACCAGCAGAATTATTCATAGCCTCTTTGATTTATGGACTTTGTGTGTGTGTGTGTGTGTGTCAGGGATTGGTGCTGATGAGAGGTCAAGTGCTGCCAGGACAGCTGGAGGATCCCTGATAGACCTTGGAGCAGCTGCTGGGAATTTCAGGGGAGAAGCCCCAGCAGCAGGACCAGAAGTGGGACAGAGATCAAAGGTTTTTATCAGTGTCAAAATGTGTTTCATGTTGTCTTTGTATATGTATACTACAGTGCTGACTGAGAATGTCATTAAGTACTATAATGACAAAAATCCATGACAAAAAAATAAATTTATGTTTGGAAGTAATTGCTGAAATTTTTAATTCAAGACTGATGAAATTTCAACAAAAATTATATTGAATTTGTGTTTGTATCACATTTTCATTTGCCAGTTTGGTTTGCATCTACAAACATATTACAATTGTTTTTAGTCTCTGAAATTCTCCTTTTTTCAAAGTATATGATGTGCACCAGGAATATTGCAGGAAAAAAATGTGTGCAGCACTCAATTAAGATGTTGATTCCAATTTTTGAGAAAAAAGGTGTGTGTTGTTGGGCTTGAGCAGTGATTGTCATTGTACATGATGTGTGGACTTCTTGACATGTATGTCCTTCTAAATTGCTGCATTGTAGAGTGTGACAGCCATGACCATGACCATGGGCACTCTACCCCCACCACCAGTGGCAGCAAGGGGTTCATCAGCTGGTCTCAACATGAGACCAATGCCCATGGCTGTGCAGAATCTGCAAGCCTCTGAGTCATCCTCAGCCCCCATCAGCAACAGCTCAGCATGTCACCAGCACCAACAGCATGCATCTGCAGACTCTGCTGGCCCATCATCATCAAGGCCTGTCCCTCCTCCTCCTCCTTCTTCTTCTTCAGTGCCCAGAGCTGAGACCCCACCAGCAGAAGACAATCCTAGTCTGGCAGTGCCTGGCAACACCAGGAAGAATCAGCAGCAACAGCAGCAGCAATTGCATCCCCTGCAGCAGCACAGGCCTTCACAAGTGCTGAAATTTGAGCCTGCCAACCCAGAGATGCCAGCAGCAGGGACAGGATCAGGAGCACCCTCAGGTACAACTAGTGGTGGTGGTGGACAGCAATCTGCAGCAGTTTCAAAGCCCATAGTGAAGATATCTTCAGGGGACAATGAGTCTGCAGCTGGCTCCCTGGTGCCATCTGGTGGTGGCATCAACCTCTTGAGTTCCGGTCTGGACCATGCTGGTTCCAGGAGACCCAGTAGGGACACCACCGTGTCCTTGTCCAGGTCCAGGGCTGGCAGTGGGTGTCTGTCGGGGTTCCAGACCCCGAAAAGAGGCAGTTATTCTTCACTCATGCCCTCGTCTGCGTCTTCATATTCTGGACAGGTATATGTATTATATTTTAGTGTACAGTATTCATGAAGCTTGGTATTTGAAGAACAACCCTTTTGATTCCTTCCTTCCTTTAATATTACGGGTGATCAATTGTTGAGGGTTTATATCACTTTAGAAATCCAGTGTCTTTGTTCTGATTGTTGGACGATTGCCGGAAATGGAGTTCTGTTATACAGCATAGTTGATTATATGTAGGTACCCTCGCTGTTGTGACTTATTATTCTGGCTGATGTTTTCGTCAGTGAAGAACGATCTGAAATAATGAAGGGATTGCATTATTTGAGAACATGCAGGGACAGCTTCATTCCCGTCGTCGAAACCCTGTTTAACTCGATGCATTGTTTTGATCGTTGGATTATTTATCGCAAGATTTTAAAAAATGGATTGAAATCTCGAGAGAGTATGATGTGGAACAGCGCTCGAGTGTTGCCAATGTGTGTGAAGAATTGTTGAAGCTCCCGTTATTCAATTTAATTTTTAAAAACAAATCTCGAAAGTTTTGAACCAATAATAACCCCTCAAACCATCATACAGTTTTATTTATTGTTCCTGCATGCTGCACCTGTTTTTATTTATTTTCGATTGAGAATAAAAAATAATGATAATCATCGTGATCATGATCAGGGTGCTGGCCCTCCGTTCGTGCCCCGGAGAATGGTGGCCAGCCGGGACTCGGAAGTGACGCAGCACAGCACGACCAGCAGCTCCTTCATCGTGCAGGCCGCGTCGGCCCGCAGCAGCAGCTACATCTGCCCGGACTCGCCGTCCAACAACCCCAAAGTCGGGGTCGTCATCACGTCGTCGAGACAAGCCCGAAGAAGGTACGGTATATACACAGTACTTTACTCTACTGCTGGCGATGTATTGCATATTCATTGTGCAGTATATACACGTAGAATCTGACCGTTACGACGAATCTGTATATTTATAAGCGTATAACGAATACTCGATGAATACTCTGCATATATAACGACTTCGTTTTTTAGGAATCTCATCATTACGACGAATAATATTCGATTAATACTGTATGACGAAGTCGTTTTTTTTTTAGGTTCATTTATGCTGTCTGACGATAGCCGGAATGTTGCAATATTTTTTTCAAAGCGAATTTTACGTTTCAGCAAAGCGATGTTGCTGGTCTCAGCGGCTTCGTTGTAACGAGATTTTACTGTATACTGCATATATATACTGGACACGGTTGAACCTCGGTAACTCATCGAACGTATCTCCAAGTCGAATTTTGTATCTCAAGCCCCCCCCCTGGAAACAATAATATGCATTAAAAATCTGCCCGACTCGAAGGCTTTCTCGCTCAAAACCTCGAATTTTCCGGAGGCCTTTTATTGACTATCATTGCATTGAAACCGAAGAGAGAGAGACAACAATTACTGAAAATGTAATACGATGTGTTTTGAAAGGAAGTGAAGAAAAACCCTTGGCTTTTCCGAGTTCAGCATTGTGTCAACTCGTGTATATAAAAATAAGCAATCAATTCAAAAGGCCCTGATTATTATCACCATCTGCTGTAATTATTCTTCCTTTTGTTCTTTTCAGTTTTTTCCTCAAACGAAAGTACTTTTTTTTTCCCCCTCACTCAAACCCACGCCTGATTTAAATTTTCTTTTGTTGGTACTGAAAGTATCTTATATTGAAAGTCGATTGCAATTAAATTCTGTCTTCTCACATATTTGTTTCCCCGCCCGATATGAGCGCAGGAGCAGTTCGTCGACAGCAGCAGCCGCCTTCGCAGCCGCCACCGCCGCCAGTGGGAACCCGAGAGACGTCCCGGTCGGCGTCCCAGCTGGCCTCAGTCTGCTCACCAACAGTTGTCCTCCGTCCCGACGCGTGTCCTACCAGACGACGTACTCGTCTCTGGGCGGCAGTGGCGGCGGCGGTGGTGGTGGTGGTATGTGTTGCGGGGACTTGAGTGCTGGCGACGGCAGTCGACGGATGTCGTCGCGAAGCAGCGTCGGGTCGTCCCTGGGCATCGGATTGGGCGACGTTTACCGGAGAGGCAGTTCCAAGGACGGAAGGGACGAGCTGATGATGAAGCGGATCCCGAGGGGCTCGGACGCCGCGGCGGCCATGCATTTGACCGCCACGGCCGCCACCATGCGGGTGCTGAGTGTGCTGAGACACTGGGTGTCTAAGCATCCGCAGGTATACATTAATAACATAAAACAGTAAATGAGTAAGTTCGGTACTGTATATGAAAGAGGTGCTGATGATGGATCAGATAGATCCTGATGTGAAAATTTGTCATGATGATGACGAGATTCATAATTTTGAAGATAGGCCATCATGGGCTGCATGGCAAGGGATTGTTTTTTTTTTTCTTCCAAAGTTTAATGCTGGTGGATTAAGGAAGATAATTTTAATTTGGATTATTGAAATGAGAAATTTATTATGGTCAACTGGAAAATCCATGATTTATTTTTTTATTTTGTGCAATTAAGGTTTTAAAAATGGATAAATTGTTTCATCATACAGTACCTTTGACTGATTTGGAATCTAACTGAGTCAACTACAGTACCATAAAATCATATTTCAAGCAATAATGCCATTATTGCAACAAATTTCTCATTCCACAAACTTTTTAAGCTGAAGCACCAAAGAGTAAATATTAAAACAATCTTGTTGCAGCAAACTCTCCAATTCCAGCATATAGCTAAATCTTGAGGAGTGTTTAATAGAGTCTACAAGTAAGTATACATTTCTTGACTAAGACAGATACACAGACTGAAATTTTAGATCCAAAGTGTGACTGACTGGTTCTTGAATCTTTAATCAATCACAAATAATTTTCCAATAAAGTGGTTCCACAGACAATCCTTTCAGAATCAAGAGATTGGTGCAACTAATAGGCTTCTGCCTCATTGCTGAAGCTGATTTTTTGGTTCAGAAGATTGCTGAGTGTTTCAAACAATAATGAATAAAAATGTGGAAATGCTAGAAAAGCAAGATATAATTGATCATGGGCAGGTATAGTCAGTCTGATGTGAGCATTTTTTCCAGTCATTAATTTTGGAAATCTTGTTACAACAATAACTTATTCAGTACTGTGCTGATATGTCTCAAATTTTTTATGAAGTCCCCAAAAGTTTGTTGTGACCAGATTTTATTGTAATTGGTTTGCAAAAATGATGAAGATGAGTAATTAGCTAATGTAATTTTGTTTTGGTTTTTATTTATTTCAATGTTGATGAAAAGGACTTTGAGAGTGAGCAGTTGAAGAGCATGACTGTGGAGTTCCTGGAGGACTGTGTGAGTGCACCAAACCTGCTGCCTGCTGAGCACAAGGCTGCCACTCAGCTGCTCAGGCTCCTGACCAGGGAAGACTTTGAGCACAAGGCCATTGATCTGGAGACTCTCTTGGCCCCACCTGCATCACCTGTGAGAGTCTACATACATGTATATAATTTTTTTTTAAATTATTTATGCCGAATTACTCCCTTTTTCAGTTCCCTGATGACCTGAAGCATTCTTCAAAGACCTCTGTGAGTATATTTCTCTAATAATGTGTAGTTTGAAAAATGTCTTGTTTTCTGACATTATTTATTATTTGTTGAAGGCTGCTATGAGGGATCCTTGTGACCAGTTTTCTGCTCTGGAAATTGCAGAGGAGATGACTTACTTGGACCACAAGATATTCATTTCCATCAAGAGCGAGTGAGTTTTATTGAGCAGCAGTTGTTTATTTAGATTTTAGAGTATATCTTTCTTTGAAATTGAAACCTGAACTTATTCATTGATTTTTGTTTCAATTTTTCCTCAGAGAATTGTTGGGCCAGGCTTGGATGAAGAGCGAGAAGAACACCAAAGCGCCTCATGTTGTGATGATCACCAAAAGGTTCAATGAGGTGTGCACTAACATATAACTCATCTCCTCATACTTGTGTACTATTGACAGACTAATTATGGGAATGCCTTTTTCTTTTTGAGAGTGACGTCGTGTTGATTGTTTTTACATTCATCGTCATCATCATATTATTATTATTATCATGTTGGTGCGCAGGTGTCGAGGCTGATTGCTTCAGAGATCCTGAGCAAGCCGTTCATGAACGAGAGGGTGGCAGTCATCGAAAAGTGGACGGGGGTCGCGGACATTTGCAGGTGCTTGCACAACTTCAACGGCGTCTTGCAGATCTGTTCGGCCTTCACCAACTCGTCGGTGTTTAGGCTCAAGAAGACCTGGGACCGGGTTTCGAGAACGGTACAGCACTTGGTTACAGTAATTCTGGTGGTATTGTCAAGATTATATATATATACAATATAAACAGTACTGTATATAGTACTGTATATATATTTTTAAAAGTGAAATCTCGCTACGACAAATAATTCCCATAAGGACGACTGAATAAAAAAAATTGTTATAGAGTGAGATTCTTATTGGTCCTCTGAGCATATGTGGGACTGACATCTTGTGGGATTCATCAGGTGGAAAAAAAAATGCCATCATGGAGCAAGTACTTTCTGTGAATCATTAATTTATAACTTCTTCATGATGAAGAAAACTCGAATTGTAAAATGCAATTCACATTATTTCAGACCCCTTTTTTCTTAAAATGTTGAAAGAAAAAATTGGAGTTTCACACTTTCTGTTGCAAATGTTGAATTTATTGTACAAGAAGACATGGATATTATATTTTTGTAGGTTCTTCAATTTTTCCCAAGTTGGGCTTTCCCATATTTTCCCTATTGGTGAAAATTTTCTAACGGCCCCTGCTGCAAAGCAGGCAAACATGCTTTATATTGACATGATGAAAGGAAATTTGGTTTGAAAATTTTAATTACAGTACATGGTTCCTCTGCTGGATGAGAATAAACTCCTGGAACCAGTACAAGAAAAAGTGCTCAAATGATAACGAGATTCGTTCTAATATGGTATTGTATATTGAGAAAAATTTATATTTTGTTGTTGTTGGTTTTTTTTTTTGAGAACAGACGAAACAAACGCTGGACAAGCTGCAGAAGCTGGTGGCGGCCGACGGGCGCTTCAGGAACCTGAGGGACGCCCTGCACAGGTGTGACCCGCCTTGCATCCCGTACCTGGGCCTCTACCTCACCGACCTGTCCTTCATCGAAGAAGGCACGCCCACTTTCACGGAAGACCACCTCATCAACTTCTCCAAAATGAGAATGGCGGGTTTTTCCTCATTTCTTTTTTATTTTTTTTTTTAAATTTACATTTACAGTGTGATGGACGAGGCGGCCTTTTCTATATAACATGTATTTATTCAGTACATGTATATCATTGGTGCCATAATTTGTATAGTACAGACCTGCGGTGAATTTGTATCCCATAAATACAATGATGTGATGTGATGCTCATCATAATCATCATCATCTTGCAGATTGCCCACGTGATCCGGGAGATCCGGCACTTCCAGCAAACGCCGTACAAGATCGAGCACAACAAGCGGGCGGCCAACTACTTGCTCTTCATGCAAAACACCTTGTCCGAGGAGGAGTTGTACCAGCGGTCGTTGACGCTGGAGCCGCGACACTCGCGCATGTCCATCACGCCGTCCAGCATCGCGGCCAGCAACGCGGACCAGGTGGTGCAGCAGCAGCAGCAGCAGCAGAGCACGTGTCAGTCCTCGCCGCAAGATGGCGACAGCAGCAGCATCAGCCTGCAGCACCAGCAGGACAATAAGATCACCAGCACCAGCACGTCGCCAGTCATTGCCATCTCAGCCATCATTGTCTGAGATATGATTCCATCATTGTTATCATCATCATCTCTCTCTCTCTCTGTCTCTTTCTTTCTTTCTTTTATTGTCAGAAGGCGGGTTATTAATTATTTTATGTGTACCTTTCAACTCTTTTTTTGTTTCTCAATATCTTAAATGCTGCTGTTGATTATTACCATACTGCATGAGAATTGCTGTGTCAAATAATGATGTACTGTATACCCCTGTTATTGTTGCTGCTTATTATTGTCATCAATTTGGCTGTATATGGTGATGATATGATGATGATGAAGTTGGAGGAATTGAGCAGCCATTTTCCTGTCCTGCTGCTGCGGTGTCCCTAATATATAGCTCCCCCATCATCAAATGTTGTTGGGCTTGCAAACCCTGCTGATGCCCATTTTTAGGAACTGTATACACAGTCAAGAACAGTCATCAGCCAACTGTAGCTGCCAAAAAATGCCCTTCACACAGCACCCAAACTATTTCCTGATGGGTGTTGCTGGAGGGTGTGAGAGAAATGAAGACTCTCTCAGCATCCCAGCAGATGAAACCTCATCATTTTTGATGGGAGGATATTTAAGGAAAGAAAACATTCTTGGCATTTCCTATTTCTGTTTTTGTTTTTTGGAAAGAAAATGTTGACCTATATTTGGATGTTTATTGGTGTGGAACAAGTGTGTACTGTTTTCATCAGTCATTTTTTTGTACTTGTTCAAAAGGCTGCTGCAGTTACCCCTGTGCAATACCTCAGGTTCAAAGCAAAAGAAAAAAGGAAAAGATTTCCCTTGCTATGTTTTCTTATTGTGGGACAAGAAAATTGAAGAAAACAAGGTTTGCTGTTCTGATCTCATCATTGTGATTTGAGCTGGTGATGTTAGGGATCCACTTGTTGCTTTGTTGGCATATCCCCAAACCCTCTCCCCGCCACTTACACACACCCAAATATATATATACGTGTACCCTTCAAGTTTAATTTTTCATGTGCAGCTGACGCAGAAGAATAATGAGGGAAAGATTGACCTCGGCTGACCCAAGTGTCTTCCTCTTTGTTGACCAAAGGCATCAGGTCGGATATCATACAGTGTATCATCCCATGCAGATGAGAGATCCTACTTTTTTGCTTCTTTTTGTTATTGTTGCGCTGCTGGACCAGCGATGCACAGCTTAAGACACAATGGATTTACTTTTGGTGTGTGCCCCAGCCCATTTTTCATGACCATCAGGTTCCTCATCCCGCCCTTTGGATGGTTATTTGTTGCCAATATTGTTGTTCTTGTCGTGGTCATTAAAAACAAAACCTTTGAGGACCATCAGCCCATTTGGGACAAATGAAAAGACTGGTTTCATTTACTATTTTATAAAAAAAGGTTTCACAGCAGATTCCGGCTCACCTGATTATGCATGATTACCAACTCTGGAAAATTCATTAAATGTGCTGCACACATTTAATGAATGAATGATTTAATGCTAATGAATGATTTAATGCTGCACACATCATACATGCAAGACATCCTGGAAATATTGCACGCGTTTTTTTTTGGGGTAAAATCAAGGCAGAAAATTGCAGGGGGAGGGGGCATTAATTTCTTGGAACAAAAACTTGGTAAAAAAATATCTTGAACAACATGCAGTGATTGCAACAACAAAAAGGACTATGAATAAGAGAGTGAAATAATTTCTCATATGGAGCAGAGCTCATTTAATAATTAAATCTCTGTACTTTGCCATATACAGTACCTGCTGTAAATCCACCCCAAAGGAAGAAGCCAAACTTTGTTAAACATATTTTAATTGCCCTGGTTGCCAAATACAGTACAAGCAAAAACATCCTGGTATCCATGAACCTTGCTCAAAAACCCGCGCGGACGAATGAGTTCCAAAAAGTCTTTTTTTTTCTCACTCACTGTTGCATTATTCCAATAAAGAACAACCACAATCAAGGATTAAAAAACTATAGTAATCTCCAAGATTAAAAAAAAAGGTCTGACATATACAGTACATATAATATATAAACTCATACATCAAATGGAAAGCTTCAGTTTCACAAGGAATGTCTCAAGATTCTCTCTCTATATATATATACGCAAGACTTGATCACCACCATGGAAAACTTGAGTGATTGAACCATTTGGGCAAGAATCTGCTTTTCCATTCCCCCCAGCAGCAAACCAACAAACAAACACAAGCTCAACTGCATCCGCATGAATTTAACTTGGAATCCCACCCTGGTAAATTACTTAAAAAAAAAAATCATTTGTAAAAAGGATACAATCATCTCTCACTCACTTTTGAAATATCCCTGGCATTTTAAAGAAACCTTTGCTGAATGATTGGGAGAATTTCCCTTCTTTCTCCTCTTAGAAGACAGTAACCTTCAACATGACCAGAGTCAACAAGAGTGTCACAGGGATGACTGTTGCTGAGGAGGAGGAGAAGAATGTACTGGCACCTCCATTATTCGCAGACTGGCTGCTGCCAGTTGCAGGGGTCTCAGATGACGAGGCACCCATCACATGGATCTTCCAGCCCATGTTCCTGTGCGTGTAGCACTGGTAGTAGACCTCGTCGGGCGTGTCGGGCAACACGGTCCAGGTCAGCTGGCCCGCCCTGCCAGTGGGGGCACAGTCCAGCTTCATGTCACTCTTGTAGTCCTCGAACGTCGTGTACTCGTCGGCACTCTTCCCCGGGGTTCTTGGGACATACTCGCACAGTCTTCCTCCTGCCAATAAAAAAAAAAACAGTAAAGCCTTTTTCTTGAAAATTGGAATTCGGGAAAAATGATTCAATGAATCTTCTCGAAAATTGTAATGAGTTGAAATTGCAAAAAATCATTGGAATCTAAAGGCCAGCAGTCAGAAAGCCCATGCGGAGTACAGGTTGTTGAAACAATCGTTACTGTACTGTACAATGAAGCGACATCTATACAAATGAACAGAAGCATGGCCCTCGCCGCAACCCTAGATGTCGCTCTCTCTCTCCCCAGTGTTTCTCGATTTCAGACTAACTATTCGGGACTCAATGAGTTCAAGGAACGTCAGTAGTGGTAGTGCCAAAATTCTTGTTCCGATTTTTGGGACAAAGAACGGCAACTCACGGCCCGTGGGTTCAATCAGTCCACTGCTGCCGAGTCTGACACCAGCATAGACCTTTTCTTCATCCTGCTCGGGCTTGGACTTTTGCCCGTAGCCGCCAGAGGGCGAGGAAGTGATGTAGAATGGATGAGACCTCGCGGGGTTCTCCTCGTCATCCCCACCCTCCACAGTGAAGTGGTAGGTCTGAAATGAAAACAAGGCAAATAAAACAACGTCAAATATATTCAAAAGTAATTTTTTACAAACAATCCTCACCTTCCCACGTTCAACAAAGATCTCTGGGATGAGCTGCCCATTGATCCACCAAGCAATGCCCCAAGACGGTCTCCCTATGGATGTCGCAAAGAGAGAAACATGGTACACTCAAGCTCTTCTTGTCAAACGATAATTGGAACACTGCTCCTCATCATTTTTTTTCCTCCAGAGAACACAGTGAACTACATATTTGTGAAAACCCAAAAACTTTTGCCAGACACAGAAAAAGGCATTTTTCAAACGATCTTTGGTGTATTATTTGTATGATACATTTTCAATGCACCAGCAACAATTTCATTCAAAAACAGAAGTTCACAGTATTTATACTGACCAGTAATGGCATCATAACCCCTGGACCCTCCAGTGGGTCCAATTCTGGCTTCAAATTTGTCCATGCCCTTGATCATAGCTGGGATCCACTTTGGCAAGTCCTTGTTGACACCACCAGCAGCACCAGAACCACCACCACCACCAGCTCTGCTGCCTCCACCTCCTCCTTGATGGGTCCCAGAGCTCTCAAGAGAAACCAACTCTGGTCCACAAGTATCCTGACCACTTCCTCCAAAATTCACCCTGATGTGATCTATACATCACACAAACAACAAAAGAGTCAATATCAAAGGCCATGTCAAAGGTAAAATGGCAAACTTACTGCCAGTCCTAGAGCTGGAATGGTACATGGCCTCCTTTTGGTCATTCAGAGAGCCAATGGCAGCAATGACAGAGGAAGCAGTGGTGGTGCCTGCAGGGATGCGCATGTCCCACCTGCCATCTCCTGCTGCCAGAGGGCGCCTGTAGGTGAAGACCATGACGCCATCTTGCAAGTCTCCAGAGAGATACTCTGCATCATTCTCCCCTTGCAATCTGGTGTCTGGACACACTCCACGCTGTCCATCACACTGTGCATACATAAATGGAATCCATAAGTATAAAAACATACTCTTCCTCTTCAATATTTTGAATACCTCTCCAAGTAAAACATTTTCAAGCCCCCTTCTTGAATTCCCAAAAAAAAAATGTAAAAACCTCAACTCAATGGCATTCCCCTTCAAACCTCCATAACTCAACAGTTTCTGAGGACTTTAAGCAGTTTTATTATTGCCACATGAAGAAAAAATGAATAAAAATGTAACTTGATGCATTTTGAGAAGAAGAGAAGGACTAATTGAACAAACAAAACCTTGCTTCCAAGTTCAACATCCTGTCAACTCATCTGAGAAGCAATTCAATGTCCAGAAAAGTGTCCTGCAATTCTTCCATCTTTCCACCAACAAAAATGCTTGTCTCACTCAAGATTCAAAACTTCTCTGGGTCAAATTTTTTGTTGGTCCCTTGAAGTTTGAATTGAAAAGGTTCAAATGTATAACAAGAAGAAAAGAAGAAAAAGGATGAGTCACCTGGGCCTTGTCACTCATGAAGTAGTCTTGGACTCTGAAAGCATCCTCATCAGTGTTGTAATAGGCCACCACCACATCTGCACCAATCATCTCAGACCTATTTAATCAGGGTTGAACATGAGCAATAGACAACAAGGTCAATTTTCCATGAAGTACACATTACCTTCCAGGCACTCCACTCAGTCCAAATGCCATGTACTGTGTGGCCTGAATCTTGCCCATGAGCTGAACCACCAAATGCTCATTCTTCTCCATCTTCCACCTCACTTGCATGATGCCTTTGAAGGGCTCAATGCAGTTGGTGAAGGCAAAGGATGTTCCTGGGCCAGAGGCAGGCTGTTATTGGATATACAATCACATGAACAAATGTTGGGAAACAAGGCCAAAAAAAATAAAAACATACTGCTTTCATGTTCTTCAAAGAAGGAGGCACATTCAGAGTCAGAGGCAGAGTGATGTGACCAAGGTCTTCATCTGATGCCTTGCTGTACACTGCCAGCCAATTGAAATCCCTGATGCTGTGTCCTTCAGGGATCTGCAGGGTGATGTCCTCAGACTGATACTGTCTCAATGGAGTTTTTCTGCAAAAAAACCAAACAGAATTTAGCAAAGAGATTAAATTATGCAGAAAATGTATTGATTTTTTGAAGATCAATCTGTGCTTGTCAAAACATGTCATATGCTATGGGAAAACTGAATTAAGACTCAAATGGAAGTACAACTACATCACTTTTTCAGTATTTAAAACTGTACCAAGTGTCCTTGAGTGGTATGCACAATCAGATTTTTCTTCCAAAAATTATAATGGAATCCCAACACAAAGTAAGATACACAATCCATTTGTTGTGACTGAAAAACTTCAAAAATTGAGCATGTCAGAATTTTAATTTTCACATAAATTGAACCTGAAGTCAGTTAATTTTCAATTGTTTGAATTTGAAAGTGCTCCTGTCAAAATTAATAAAAAAAAATTTCATCAAATTTAAATACTGTATGACTCTCACCTAAACATTTTTTTAAAAATTGTGTACCCTTTTATGACAGACACCCCCCTTCTTGCCTTTCAATTTTGAGAAAAAAGGGGTGCACATATAGTACTTGAGTAAAAATGATAAATCTCTTCTAAATAATGGAGAAACTGTTTTTGGTCAAACCAAGACCAGTGGTGTCCTCTGTTGGGTGCAAAAAGCAGCCACAATAAAATATTGTGAATAATTAAACATGATATCACAATCTTTCACTTTTTAACTCAATATATATACTCCCAAGAATATAAATTCGCAAGAATAACTTTTGAGTGAATCATTTGCACACTGTTACAATCAAATCAATTTCTCTTCATCAAGTAAATAAGATATAAAATATCCAATTTTCTCTATTGAGTGTATATAAAGTATGATTTTCACAAGATTGGTCACACTTGTATAGTACATTACTGCACTTGTTGAAAACATGGATGACTTTTGTACCTGCCCTGCTCATCAGGGATGATGACATAGTCCCCAGAAATGGATGGAGTGTCTCCCTTGCCAGCAATGAAATGCGCCTCTGAGGCTCTGCCATCATAACTAAATCTGGGCACCACGATGGTGGCATCATCCACCACTGTGGCACTGGCTGACTTGACACTGTTGCGCCTGGTGGCAAACCCGTCCACAACAGTCTCCTTGGGAGGGTCCAGACTCTTGGGAATGGTGACATGGCCGAAATTCACCTGGAAATACAATTATGAAATTTCCATAATTTTTAATGGGAAAAGTTACATTATTGCACACTATATTGCAGGAGCAAGTCACAAAGCACTTGACATTCTCAGTCATCAAATTTCCAACTGCCCAATTTTACTGTCATGGATGATTGAAGGGAAATAAATTGATCCAACAATTTATTCTTTCCATCCATTCATCCAAGACTCACATGAGTTCATGATCTCTTCAAGAATATCCCACAGGGCCTCAATTCATTCAAGTGTCACAAAATAATCAACTCAATTTCTTGCAAAAATTATGGAAAATTGAAGAAAAGAAAAATATAAAATGTGGAAGAGAAGAAAAAATAGGGGGAATAAATTCCAAGATTTCCACTTTATAATTCCTTTTTTCTTTCTTTCTTTCTCATTTTTTGGAAAAAAAAATAAAATAAATAAATTGGCGAGAAACTTACGGTGTAGGATTCACAGTAGACAGAGAGGTAGTCGATATCCTTCACAGTCATTCCATCAGGCAACTTGATCACTAGGTCAAGTCCATCAGCTCTCTCCAACTTCTTTGGCTTGCTTCTATACATTTAAAAAAATTACAAAACAGATTTCTCCTTTTCAAAATCCAATGATTTGCGAGTATACAATTACAATAATAACACACACACACACACATTTTCTTGTTTTTCTCGTAAAAAATGGAATTTTTTTTTTTACAAAATGCAAGTGGACCACATTTTTTATAACGTCGAAATTAATCCAACTTCAGCATTATTCTTCGAAAAAAGTATTTCAATATTACATATAGTAATATGTAACCAATTCTAAAATATAGCGGGTGGCCCAAGAAAAAATGATGTTCAGAGTGAATAAAGGACGCAAAAATAAATTACAGTGAATAAGTGAATATATTTAATAAACCGAATTCCCTTCGAACCTCAAGGGCATAATTTGCTTTGGGCAAGAAAATAATTTCCTTTCACAGGAAAAAATTTGGGGAGTACCTTCTAACTCGAATTTCAAAAGGTTTTCAATTATTTATAAACTCGGCTTTAAATTCACGAAATCCGGTTCTCGATCGAATATAGTGGCATAATTCATACCTGTCACCATCTTCCCTGATGGGATATGGCACAATGGTACCCTGTGGAGTCGGGGTTCCACCAGTTCCCACCCAGAAGAAAGCATCTGAAAAAAAGAAATAAATTATAAATAATATAATTTTTCTGAGGTCTCTTGCCGTTTGATATAACGATAATTTACTGAATTGGGAAAATACTTCAAAAATATCAAGAAATGCCACGAGTTCCGGGTGTTAATTTCACAAATTTTCAAGTTTTCTGCACGCGTAGTTGCAGATAAGTACAGTACAGTACTGTACTTCCTAAACTTCTCGATCCATAAGTCAATTCAATTTCGGCATGAATTTCAATTTGATGCAGCACTTGAGATTATACTCAACTCACTATTTCCGAACAAATCAACTGCTGTTCATAGAACACTCTAGAAAAGAATACTGCAGAATCTCGTTATAACGAATTGATGCATACAGTATACGACTTTTTTTTCTCGTCCCCGGTTCAATAATTAGTCAAAATGTTATTTAATTTCATGCACAACAATGCCTTTCTCAAACGCTTCGTTGTGATGAGATTATACTGTACTTTGAGCATACACATGCATGTACAGTGTACTGTATAAAAATGATCGTCTCTTACCGGGTGCAGTTCCATCATAACCGAAGCCCTTGATGAGAAACCTGTGCTCGTCCACAACGTAAACCGTGCCCTTGATATCGTGGGCGAAGTTCCTGAAATCACCGACCTTAGCTCCAAGATATTCGCCAGTCCCTATACATAAAAACATATACGTTTTACAGTATATAAATATAGAGAGAGACGATGAGAGAATGGAATGGGACAAAGACCGTATTAGCACACAATTGAAATCTTGATCCGCCCTTGAAGAAAAAAAAAAAAANGGGCTAACTGAAAAACACGTGACAAAAAGCTTTCGAGATTCATTCATTACTGCAAACGACGAAGTGTTCTTGATCCTCTTCACAATGTTTGGATGAGGCATGTTGCATTCTTTCTCCGGATTTCATCTCCTGCCTGCATTGGGAAGGAGACATATACTGAAGCAGTATTCACTGCAATATTTGCTCACAGAACGGTCAAAATATATCACTAAAAAAATAACTTTAATGCGCAGAATTATTCTCCATAGTCTCTGAACTGTAGACCTAAATATACTGTGCCATCTTCCAACAAAACCTCTTCTTGCATCAATGTTTTATGGCAATCCATTTAAAGAACATTTTTCAACTTTTAATCTTAACCATCAAGCACTTGAATAAAATAAAAACATTTCATGTTTTTCAGGAGTCTCGAGACGCACTGAACAATATTACCATATTGCAGCACCATCAAATTGTCCAACCACCACTTCTGAGTGGCCCTTGACAGAATATACGGCGCAAGGCCGGCAACAACCAACCAGTTTCCCACCGAACGCTTGTCCATCCGGAAGAACCCCGGAAACTCCTCTCTATATCTACAGTCTCGTTAAGAAACACCAACAATTGCGAAACATGAACGAAAAAAAAAACCTGATCAGCTATCCGGCTTAGTTCGAAAATGATAATCACGTAGACTTTATGGAATTCGATTTCATTCGCTGAATGAGAGCGAGAAATGCCTCCGTTCCGCATGAAGAGAACCACCACCACAGTATTTTACTGCTAGCGACATCTATATCATATTGAAGAATAATGTTTCAATTGTTTTCTCAAACCTTCGCTAGGTGTCCATCTTCCACATCATCGTTCATTCGATACAAGAAATTAATGCCCTTACATTTCTCATCGTCATTGTTCTCCACGTCCATTCACCCAAACAAAACTTGAGGACAATGAAGAGAAAGGAGTCCAACAGATGTCACTGACGTGCGAACGCCGTAAATCGCGGGTGTGATGAAAGAAACGTAGGCGGCATGGGTTCAATGCCTGGGAGACCAAAACCGCAAGCTGAAAGCGTGGTGTCATTCTCCAGCAATATTATCTGTTTGGGTCAATGAATTTTAAAGTTGTATAGTCAAAAGAGTTTTTAACAATTAAAAGGGATCTGGAATTAGCCTGTGTTTCACATTTACATCAGGATGACTTTTTATAATGTTTATATATATACTGTATATATGCACAGCCATGAAGTGTTCTCAAGTGCCTCCCTTATTTGCTCACAGGGTGGGACCTGTCATGAAATTCATTTCATCCTACAACAAGTAAACATGCCTTTTCTTCCACTGGGAAATCATGAAGGAAAAAATCCCTGTGCATTGGAGCAATCTTGGGTCAGTTGGTGAATAGTGGCAGGACAATGCACATGACCCAGGTGAAATATATTTAGTTCTAACTAATTCATTATTGAACAAATGCCAAATTTTAAATCAATCTTTTTATATGCAAGTTGGGAATCCTAGTGATTATCTTGGCTGTTTTTCTGGACCTCAGCGAGTTGGAACTCAGTCACCAGCAGAAGCTGCCAAAATTTGCAAATGCTGCTCCTTTGGTGCTTTTCAAAGTGTGAGTCCAATAATTTAAATATTTTTTAATAGAAATAAATGGAAGAAAAACAAGTGATTCCTTGAGATTGCAATGATTTCAGGTGGTCAAGCAACTTGAAGAAGGAAAAAGCTGTCGATAACTGCACATGCAAAAAGAAAAAGAGGAAGAAGAGGATCAAACAGAAACAGAAGACAAAGAATTCACATGGAAAGAAGTACCACGCAAAAAAGAAGAAAAAGTTCCTCTTCATTGGATGATTTTCTGCTGTCCTCATGTTGATCATTTACTTTTTTTTTCAAAAATTATTCTGAATTCATTTGACAACTGGAGAATTTTTTTTTCATCATGAGGATCATGTGAGATTATGACATATGTTCACATTTGAATCAAAGAGTATTTTTCAATGGGTCAAAATTTATGTATGCAATGAAAAAAATTAAGTGTTGCAGTTTGAAATATTTGGCAGTTTTGTGAATAATGAATATAAAAGGCATCCATGTTAAGAAGATTGATTGTGATTAAGTCACTTGATTCTTTGATTTTTCCTTTATGAGGAAAAAATGTCACAATCAATTTTATGAAAAAATTGTTCAGCTGGTCAACTTTTCAAGTTTATCTACAAAGTATGGCAGCCATGTCAAGTTAATGGGTGTTTTATAAAACAGCTCTCTGTATGGTTTCCCAGCAAATAATTTGTTACAGGTAATGCTGCCCATAACAGTTACGCATACAAAAAGCGTTTGTTATGCATAACTGTTATGCCCAGCTTCTTCTGAAAGGCCTTTCTTTTTTTTCTGTGTTGCTGTACTGAAAGTTTTTTCTGAAATGCATTCAGAATGCGTTTTTAATGCATTCTGTAGTTACGCCTATACTTTGAACACTTTTGATGAGCTTTTCTTGAGTGTAGCAGGCAGGCGTTTCAAAACGCCTGCCTGCTACACTCAAGAATTTCAATTTTTTCAGATTTTCCTGGGTGTAACATGGAGCGTTTTAAAACGCTCTGTGTTACAACCAGGAAAAATCTGAAATAAACAGTTTTTAGCATTGTAACAGAAAGGCGTTTTAAAATGCCTGCCTGTTACAACCAAGGGAAATCTGTTGAAATCAGTTTTTAGCATTGTAACAGACAAGCATTTTAAAACGCCTGTCTGATACAATGCCAAAAACTGTTCATTTCAGCTTTTCCTTTGTTGTAGCATGAGTATTTTGTAACACCAGCCTGTTACATTCTTTAAAAATTATTCCTTATTTTAACAGTATTTTTAACTTCAAAATTTATATTTTGTGGTTTTGTATAATTGCGACAAACTGATGCAACAAACATAAAACATCTGATGAAAGGAATTCCTTTCATCAGAAACAATTATGTTCTGATAGAAAATTAAATTGCAAATCTGGGTCAAATTGTTTGCATGCATATTTATGTTACATATATGCTACATATTATGCATAAATGGGTAGCCATATCAAGTGAATAGATTTTTTCACAGAGCTCACAACAGCTCCTAAAATTACACTTAATTCTTGGTGGTTTCACTAAAATTCTAAAATGAACTTGATTATGCTAATTTTTTAATTACAAATCTTGGAAAATTTCTTTTTTTTGGTTGAAAGGACTCCATGAAATGGGCTGCCATTTCAAAAGTGCAGAAATATTTGATAAAATCAGATCTACAGCTTATTGATTGGTTATCTTTTTCATGAGAAACAATGTCCTGGAAATATATGTCTTTTTTGAATAAGAAACAACTGGTTTAAATTATGTGCATGTATGCTGTGTATATATTTCATGTACAAGAGGGAGCAGCCATGTCAAATAGATCACATCACAGAGCTCATGCACACATAAGCTCCAGGAAATTCCAATCTTCCCACACACAAAAAAAAAACTTTTCACTGCATGGAACTGAACTTTGTGGAATGCCCTTTTTGTTTTTCCTTGGGGAGGTGGTGGGTTTATTTTGAGCAGGTATCAGGAAGTGTGTGTCTGAGGTTTGCAGAAGAAGAAGAAGAAAGAGGGGAGGAGGAAATGGTTTTTTGGCACAGTTCCTCACCGGCTCTCTTCTCAGCACAAACACACTTCCCCCCAATACTTGCTACTGCTGTGTGAAAGTTTAAAAAAAATTCCTGCTTTTTCTGTAGAACATGAAAAATGAAAAATATCATTGATTTGTTGTGTGCTGATAATCAGCAACACAAGCACCTGTTATTGTGGACAGCAGCAGGGGATTAATGATTGTGGTCCATTGATTTGTGTGTGGGATTTTGCCAGTCAGTATAAGACAGTGTGTTGGGCATTTTGTGAGCCCCATTATTCATCACCATGACTACTTTTTTATGGTGGAAAAGCAGTGTTTTCTCACCAGAACTTGAACAGGTACTGTTTGATTCTGCAACTTCCTGCTTCCTTATTCACACATCAAAAGTGACACACATGTGATTTTCACTGCATTGGTTAAAAAGGGCTCAGTTTGAAGAAATAATTATACCTGTGCTCATTTTTCAATATCTTGGTTTCCTTAAAAATTTTCCAGCAGTTGAAGAATTCCACACAGTTCCTGGCTATTATGTAAATAATTAATTTTTCAATGTGCTCCTAAATTTTTTTGAATGATGAAACACTACCTTTACATCCATTTATTCAGAAATATACTGTATCATCACTTTTATAAGTGATTTTTTTTGGGGAAGTGGCTGACAATTTTTCCAACATAAGTTACAGCAGCATAAAATTGAGTGTTGCATTTTTTTTTCTTCTCAGGGATAAAAAAAATTTAAAGGGTAAGTATATGCTGTACATTTGAACTGTGAAGTTGAGTGGACATTTTATGTAGAGTTCATATACATGGGTGCTTGTTGAAAAAGTGAGTGAGATATACCAAAGATGTCTGGGAAGCAGGTGGAGAAGGAAAAGATGGGAGTCACCAGTGACCCCACAATGGACCTGAATGAAAAGGGTTTCTTCAGGCCATATGTGATGAAGCTGACAAGTCAGCACCTGAACCAAAGAGTGCTGGACACCTTCCAGAAGCTCAACTCAGACTTGGACAGGATCACATTCCTTCATCAAATGCCCTTTGTGCACACACTCCAATTGGACAAGTGAGTGTGAGACTACTGAGACCCCATGTCCACTATTTTATTTTTTATTTTTT